CGTGTTAGAACGAGCCGTTTTAGGTAGGCGTGGTTGACTCTTAACTTTTATAAAGAATATCTCTTTGGATTTGAGACTTTAGTCTTTGCAACTTTACAGATCTTCTTTATGCACCAAGAGCTTGTAACACTCCAAAGAGAAAGGAAAAATTGAAATCGCATCATATGATCCCTTTAAAACTAGTCCTGCCAAATATTAGCTCCGATATCTAACATCCTCAATCATAAAATTATTTAAACAACTTTCAAATAGTTCAAGTAATACAGGTTTTGAACAAAAAAAGTTTTATAAAATGATAAACATGGCCTTTTAATTGGTTAAGGAAAGGAATGAGTCAATATTCTAGATTATGATTTTTGGAATTCACATTAGCTTCTTTTCAATCAACCGATTACCAAATAACAATCTCCAGAGTTGAATGAATCAACATGAGCAGTAAATTTGAGTTTGCAGGGTACGTTGCCATTGTGAGAGTTCCTACTTCTTTTCAGGTGTTGCCAAAAATTTAGCTGAACTCTACAGAAAAAACAAAAAGATTACTTCGTGATTAGCCTTACTGAGAACCAAAAAAGGCACCAAATGAATCATTGAATCAAACGAATCATGTAGCTGAACTATAAAGGAATTTAACGATTCAAAATCTTGATTCTCCTCTAGCACAAGCTAAAAAATAGTTCAGTACTAAAAAAAAAGCGCAGCTGTTAGGTTTTGAGGTTATCTGTGTGCTTGAGACCACCTGAGGGTTGGGAGTTCTTTTGAGTTCTCCTGAGGGCTGAGGCAACGTCATTATAGGCTCTTGCCTCACCAGAGTGTCGCCCTGCATCACATCTCACCAGGACACTAATGGCTGATTGGCTTAAACTCAGCAAGGCCCTTGACAGACCTGCAGGGATGAAACGGGTTTTACACACACACACACGAGTTAATCTCGGTGCGCTAACTGTGTTACTCCTCCCCTCATGCTTATCTTGAATAAGTAACCCAGTCTCATGCACATGATCAGCCCATGGGTTTGTCAGTCACCAGCGCTCAGCGTGATTGGAAACGTTCCAACCCTGTTGTACACAGTACAGTGAGTTCATAGGATGAGATACTGTAGGTTTATTGCATTGTACAGCAAGATATTCCTCCTGTATATACCTCAACAACACAGAAAAGAATCCTTAAGTGAGATTAACAAACTACAGGCAAGAACATTAAATGAAAAAGTGATTTTTTTTCATAAAATGTGGTTCCATTAATAAATTGGTAATACTACATACATTTAGAAAGAAGTCATTTACAAAACTTTTCTTTCCGAAAAGCTTTCAACATTTGTAGATCTCAAAATAAAACCAGAAAGTTCAGAAAGCTTCTTGTTCTTGCTGTCATGAGCAAAGAGTTTCACACCATTTAACTAAATAAAAGTGCTCGAAGCAGAACTGCAGCAGCAAATCTGTAGTGGCAGCCAGGCAAGTAATGCAATGAATTCATAACTTGCACCTTACACACATCAAATTAGGCATTCTGAACTCAAGTATTAGTATGGAAAGACTATAATGGGGATTATTAAACAAAAAAATAAGATTGTTTAGTGCAAACTGTTACAAAAAATATATTGAACATATTATGATGCATACTCAAATGAATGGTGGTGTCTTACATGTGCATTTCATTTCTTATCTAAGAAATCATGACCTCGAGGCCTTTTTTTAAAAGGATAGTTCACTCAAAAATAAAACGCATTTACTTTAGTTGTTCCAAACCTGAATGACTTTCAAAAGAGCACAAAAAATATTTTAAAGAATGTTGGTAGCCAAGCAGATTTGGTTACCATTGACATCCACTGTATGGAGAAAAACATTTTCTCAAAATAGTTTCTTTTGTGTTCTACAGAAGTCAGTCAGTCATACAGGTTTGAAACAACATGAGGATGAGGAAAAATTGTCATTTTGCATGAACTACCCTTTAAGACTATTGATAGTGCTTAATTTATTAACTGCTCCATATAGTGAATTAGACCCCAAAAAGTGACAAAAAAACCCCCTGTAAAATTCTATTACAATTCCCTTTCTTTCATATGCATAGATGGCACAACTGCAGTAATTCTACATCAGGGGTGTCCAACCCTACTCCTGGAGAGCTACCGTCCTGCAGACTTTAGTTCCAACCCTGCTCCAGCACACCTGTCTGTAATTATCAAGCAACCCTGAACACCTTGATTAGTTGGTTCAGGTGTGTTTGATTGGGGTTAGAGCTGAAATCTGCAGGATGGTAGCTCTCCAGGAGCAGGGTTGGACACCCCTGTTCTACATAAATCGTGTAGATGGAAGCCCAACAGGTAGTGATGAACCAATTCTTTAAGAAGTGGAATGACATTGTTGAAACTGCCATTTAAGGGTCCCAAAAAGTCGCAAATAAAGTGAAACAACTTTAAAACAAGAAAAAAATGAAAAGAAAAGAAATACAAGACAAAAAAACGAAAGGCAATTTTGGTCATCACCAACTTTTCACGTCTACCAAAATACCCTCTCTACTTTGATTATTGTCTTATACAAGCACTTCCCAATAAATGTACACTTTGCCTAAAGCCACATTAATGAATTACAATAATCAAGATGTATAATGCCTTCATATGTAAATAATCTTAAACATTTAGATACCAACTGTACAAAAGATCTGAAGTTCCTGACATCCTATTGATCATCGGGGCTAGAAAAGGGTCTTCCTAAAACAAATGGCCAGTGAGAAAGCTCACGTACAGCTGAGAAGATGTTGGGATTAGATCACGGTATCAAGTTTACAGCATATATGTATATCTCATCAAGGCCATAGTCCTCAAACTCTGACCAAATATTTACAAAAATGTAAATTACTTTAATAAAACCTGAGCCGCAGCTCATTTACGGAAAAACAAGTAAAGCCTTCTGAAGATGAACAGGCTGTGTTGGTTATTCTAGTGTGTTTGCACTCTTCAAAAGGTGCTTTTACAGACTTTGTACCATTTTTGGTGTTGGTGTAGCACCTGTATGGATACGGCTTTAAAAGGTTTCAGAAGAGTGTCAAGAGCACTTGGGCAGAGCAGCTCTCTCTGATGGTAGAGCATTGTGAATAAGGCGTTTCTTCATTTGAGTCAGAAAGCAAACTGGGAATGCAGATTAAACAACCTGGAGAAAGAGAAGACCAGATTTTGAATAAATGTACAATGCGATGTGATTTATAGGTGGGAAACAGGCGCTTTTTTAAAGGTGCAAGTTACCTGGTGTTGTTCAGAAGAGAATAGCCTCACCGCTGGTCTTCTCTTGAACATATGAGGTGAAGCGTTTAAGGAACTTGGGGTATTCTCTCTTGGCTACGGCTCGCAAGACTGATGCAGGAGCCCAACCTCCAGGATTTACTTAAGGATTACATGAACACAGCATTAATGCGACATTTTATATCATGTATACAAAAAATAAATATTGCAATCCAAACTGATGAATTTTTTTTCATTTTTAAACAGCCCATTCCCCCAAAATGTATATATCTGGAAACTGAAAATGTATAATAACAATTTATAATAAAATATTGACAGTCATGGTTTGTTGATGTACCTACTGTCTGACGCTAACAAAAAGTGCTCCAGTGCCAAACAGTTGCTATAGTTACCGCTTCAGAATCTCATCATTCAGAATTTATGAGGTCTTTTTTGTCAAGTACAAACTAACATTTAATGTAACTTTTGCGGTCACGGAGACATTTGAAATATAAAACGTATAGCTTTAATTTTTGTAAAAATACACTACTGTTCAAAAGTTTCTAAACATTTTCTAAAATGCTGATTTGCTGCTCAAGAAACATTTCTTAGTTTTATCAATGTTGAACACAGTTTTGCTGCTTAGTATTTTTGTGGATGTCATACATTTTTTTCAGGATTCTTTGATGAATAGAATGTTCAAACAGCAGGAATGGCATTTATTTGAAACATAAATCTTTTGTAACATTATAAAGTCTTAAATCTTTTCGGTCACTTTTGATCAATTCAATTCCTCGTTGCTGAATACAAGTACTAATTAGTTTCAGAAACACAAATCTTACTGAGACCAAACTTTGCATGTGCTTTAAGAACCCCATCCAACCTTTAGTTCGAATTTTTTGGGGGGTTTGAAACTTTAAATAGGAGGGTCAAACACCCCCAACACTTACCATTGGCTACATATGTGATTTTACAGAGGATGTTGTCTCTGGTGATCTCTTTGTCTCCCTCTGGTGGGCTGATTAGTGTTTGACAGATCATGGCTACATTGATTTTGGCACGAATGCATCTAGCAGAAGGCTGGATAAAAACAAACAAACAAAAAACCCTGTAAGACAGCTTTCTGATGCACAGCTTACTGTATACTGCTAATGTTGAATAATATGCTTTTACATGCTTCTAGGTTTCCAATAACCTGCGTTTATGATATCAAATTGCACGAAGAGGCAACTTTTAATGAGATACTAACTGGATAGCCGTCATGATCCACTGAAAAGTTGCACACCAGCCAGGTGTCTGGATCATTCTCATTAGTGGAGAGAATTTTTCGGATGACTGATACGTAAAGCACTTCTCTCTGGGAAGCAGGCCACACCCTCTGCAACAGAGAAGTGAGGAAAAAAACCTGAGATCTAAAGATTTCAGAAACAACCACCCATGATGCAATAGTGAATGTTATACCTTATGTGTCTGATGAATGATGACCGCTTTATCTGAGAGTGTCTCAACCACTTGAAAGCTTTCAACAGTTGCTATAAATAAACAAGTTGTTTTTACATATTTTTCCATGACAGCATTTTCTTAAGTTTTCTATTTTCTCCTCTTGAATCATAGACAAGCATTTTTTTTTAAACGTACATTCTCAAAATATAACATTAGAAAATCAAAAAGGCAAAACGATGTACCAAGGTGAACATACTTTCCCAGTCGTTCCGAAAAGCTGTGTCCCAAAAGTAGTGGCAGACCTCGTGACCTGTGACCCGTCTGACAGCATGCGTAGCTTTGAGAGGATCCAGAACGATGCCGTTCTCCTCCACTTCTCTCCTGTACACCTGCAAAAACAATTGTTCTAACATATTCATTTCATTCGGAGTTTTAATAATGAAAGAACTATAAATAGACCAAACAGTGGTTTGAATGACAGCAACCTCTAGGGGAAAGAGAGCAATATCACTTGGAAAGGGTTCAATGGGATAATTCACTGAAAAAATGCAAATATCCCAAACTATAACCGGAGGAAGATTTAGACTGGTGTCAAGGTTCTTTTGCATTTTCTTCCGTTTTGTGACTGAACCAGAAACTACCCAGGACAAACAAATATAAATATTTATATTTATTAGGTATGCACCGATACCCCTTTTTCCAGTACTCGCCCGATACCGATACTTTTATTTTTGGTACTTGCCGATACGGAGTACTGATACCGATATTTTTATTGCATTTGTACATTTTTTTAATATTGGGTACAGAAACCAAAAGGGTATGTATAATGTTAGTTGGTTAACTTCATTTATCAAATAGATACAGTCAAACCAAAATGTATTCAGACACCTTCATCATTTCTCACATCATCACAGTTTATTCGCTATAGTTTAGAAAATGGTAATTAAATATGACAAGAACTCGGAGTTAAACTGTGTCAGAACAAATTCATCTTGATAATGCTAGATAATTTTGATAGAAAGGTATGTAATAGATTACAATCAACCAAAAATTAGACAGCTGTTAGTATGACAATATTTACACAACTATCAATACTTTGTCGGGCAGCCCTTAGCCTCAATGACAGCCTGTAGTCTCCTGGGCATGCTGTCACCCAGCTTCATGCAAACCTCAACTTCAGTTTTTTCCCCAGACTCTGTCTGAATAATTTTTGGACCCAAATCTGTATAAGTTTTACTGGTAGTCCACTGTATGAAGAATTTTTGGGTATGATTTGTCACAGTTTACTTTATTTTGCTATCCTCACTTACATAAATGAACTATAGTATACTGCACCCACTAGTAAAAAATATAAAAAAAATTATATCTGCTCTCTGAATAATTTTTGGTTTGACTGTATATCCTTCGGTTATTTTCACACTTAATTATGCCCATTAAAATGTATTTTACAAGTTTTTGTTACTTTCACTGTTCATTGTTTTGCTCTGTGGTACATCATCTTTAATTTAATAGCATTAGAGCTGCTCCATTGCAGCGGCTTAGTACTGTAATCACGCGCTTTGCTGTAATAATGTAGGGAACCACTCGTTATAAATCTCCTAACTGTGATATTTTCAGAAATAGAAGTCGCGTTTTTTCACCTGAAACGTGCTGCGATTTATATTCCAAAGCCACTCATATAATGCAGAAACACTCAAGCAAGCAAAACACGCGCAACGCATGCAGGTATTTGTACTGATGCAGAATAGTACAGCTTAGCGCATTTCACACAGGCTGCTAGATTCACTTTCGCCAGAAAGTCGTGTATGCCTAAGGTTGAAAAGAAATAATGTTTATAGTGAATGCCCCTATGAATGGTTTTATTTTTACGATTTCGTTTTAATCCAAATGATGCATGTGCCAAGTGAGTGAACATCAAAGATCACACTCTTTCTCTCTCTCTCTATCTTTCTCTCGCTCTCCCTACCGTTAAGTAACTTGGGCATTGTTTTACTTACTTGTTTTTGACATATCCGACCGAACTACAAACTTTCCAGTGATGTCTGTGAGAAAGATATATTCACTCGACAAGCTTGCGCATCTGCGCCACCGCACGCTCAATCCACTCAGCGTGCTTTGTTTATCAGCTCGCGCACATCAACTATACAGGCGTTAATACGGAATGTTTAACATTATATTCATTGCATACATATACTTCGTAGTAGACATCCTTAACTCTTTTGTGCTGTCTGTGTTTCTTTGTTTGAATATGGCGCTTAACACATGCTGTGTGGTATCGAGGCATTTTAACAAGTACAGGAGACCAGTATCGGGCCGATATATATATATATATATATATATATATATATATATATATAGTGGGGAAAAAAAGTATTTAGTCAGCCACAAACACACACACATATACAAGTGGTGTGCAGTGGTGTTCTGAAATGATGTGGCAAAGTTTTTTTATTTTTTATTAATACATTTTAAAATGGTATTTATTCCTGTGATGGCAAAGCTGAATTTTCAGCAGCCATTACTCCAGTCTTCAGTGTCCGAGTAATGGCTGCTGAAAATTCAGCTTTGCCATCACAGGAATAAATATCTTTTTAAAATATAAATGTTAGGATAAAAAAAAAAAAAAATGCTATTTTGAATTGTAATACAATTCCAAAATATTACTGTTTTGACAGTATTTAAAAAAATAAATACATTTGCAGCACATAAGAGACTATGCTTTCAAAAACATACAAAAAAAATGACCCCAAATTTTTGATTGGTAATGCATATAGATAAATATAAATGTAGATATGTACTTACAGGGAATTAAACCACAAAAGATAAAATATAGAGCCTCAATTATCTTTTTATATTTGTTTTACTCGGAGCTGTTTCTATGGAATCCTGTTTCCATTTCAAAGTGTTAAATAAAAAAAATTTAAAAATACTGCCTTCATCTACATCTCACCTTCATATCCCCTTCTTCAACAACCAGCTGCCAGTTAGCATCTCCACCCACATCCTGCAAAGAGTAATTCATGTGGCTCTGCACCATCTCCTCAACCTGTGAACAAAACAAGTGTGAGGTGTTGTACACTAGAATAATCATATGCCTGCAGTCCATCCACACTAGTGTAGTGTCATAAATCTACCTGAGCACTGAACCTGTGCACGTCATCGGAGGCACTTATGAGGTCAACGGAGGATAAGGAGGAAGTTTGACTGCGAGGCTGAACCAAAGAGCCAGAGGGGAACAGGTCAAGGGAAAGAGAAGAAAATAAAAATCTCATAACCCAGAGAATACACAGCAGACTGCCACTGCAGATCACACTTCAGCAGGAGGGACTGGAAGAACAAAGGCTGTTTCACAAATGTAAACGCTCCAAAGATTTCACAGAGCAGATCCACCATCAGCAATGACAGAATTGCATAATCAGTCACGAAGCAGCAAATGTGCTTTGACACTGAGTGTGTAGGAGTTTGTGCTTGTGCGGGTGAGTCAGAGTGGTCTGACTTACCTTAGTCAAGTATTTCTGAGTGCTGATGGAGGAACAGGTGTCTGGTGTGAGGGAGATCTGTCGAGATGCCCTGCTCCTTTCTGCCTGGGACTGCAAAACAAGACAGTAGCATTTCTGTATGGACATAGGCATAAAATACAAGTGAATTAGCTGGAAATATGCTGTGGATATAGTTCTTGACTAGTGTATTGGCTGTTGGATCCCAATGAACAATGAGCTCTGGGTCATGCATTATATTTCAGTCATTTGTTACTCCACAAAAGTGGGGCCTACATTCATTATCAGCTTTGGTTCAAAATAGTAGTCAGCTTATACAATCAACAAGGTTGAAATTTGCCCTTTTTATCATTGGCAGATAACATACTGATTTTAAATTCAACCCAGACTTTAAAAAGTACCTAAATTAGCACCACATCAACCGCTAATAATGTTCAGTTTATGTTCTTTTCCGTTTAGTTATGTTGTCTGCACTTTAAATGCCCAAGCTTTTTAAAGTCAGGTGGATTCGGATTGACTATCAATGTTTTTTATCATCACCTTGAGAAAAAAAAAAAAAAGTTCTGAAAGTGATTTAAAGGTATCGCTTCTCTTGGTTGTTATTGTTATAGCTGTGGTGTGAACCTCGCTATTAATAAATAGCGAATAATAATAAAACAGTATAGTCATAGTTCTCATCATAGTCAGTGTAAACTGGCCTTTATTGTGGTGGTAAAAAAAAAAAAAAAAAAAAACAACAACGCCCAATCTGACTCAATTAAACTAACTAACTGACTTAAAATGACTAAAGCTCAAATTTTAATGTGCTGTTTTAATGTAAAATAGATTTTTGTTATGAACCAAAAACTTTGTAACAAAAAGGCATGTCGTAAAGTTTAGCAAATTGGCTAAATTTGTTTAGAGGACCTTGAAGGTGACAACCGCAACAGTGCCATATTTCAATGTGTCAGAGCATGTTTGCTAACCACTAAGCCACTCTGACCGCTTTGGTTTCCCCAGTTTTTCCACATAACTGCAAGCACAAACATAATCCCTCTCTCTCTCTCTCTCTATATATATATATATATATATATATATATATATATATATATATATATATATACACTCACTTCAACAGTCGTGATGATGCAATCAAACAGTCCATTTCATGGAAACGGAGCCAAATGGAATGGCTGCTCAGTGTATAGCAAATCCAAATCACGTGCCAGAGAGCCAATACTTCAAAGCAGATGCCTTACAAATACAAACGCGTAAAACATTCAGCTTTGCAAAAGTGTTAATTTATTTGAAATAATAATGGCTGAATCATTACTTGCTCTTCGATCTGGTCATGTTTATCCAACGCAGCTTCCACAGCATCAAAGAACTCCTCTTCATTGATCAGACTGTTTGGTCCTTCCTGCACAGAGAGAACATCTCAGTTTGGAATGGAGGGTGTGTGTTGAACCAAAGATGGACAGGCCAGTGTGAATTATAGGCTGTCGACGCACTTCATAGTCAGGTCCTCCATAATGAGGCTTCTTCTTCAGCTCTGTCAATGCAGCTTTGTAGGCATCTTCTGCCCGTTTTCTCCTTTCGATTTCCTTATGAATGATAGAAGAATGTTACTCATAGTTTTACTATATCCGAAATACATCACAATGCACTCAAGAAAATATTAAATGGCTCATAACAATATCTAATTAATAAATAACTTTTATAATAAATATTTTTCCCCCCACACTCTTAATTTTATTTCTTTATTAAATGATAAAGTTTTCTGGTATTTGGAAATGAATAATAGCATATTTTCCTTATCACCTCACTGTGACTAAGTGGACCAAGTTTCTCATCACCCAACAAAAATTTTCTTGAGGATGGTATGATTTAAAAAAAAATGTATACTCACCAAGGCTGCATTTATTTGATTTATTTTGATTATTAAAAATATAAAGTATTAAAAACACTAATACCGTTAGATAATATTAATAACTGATTTCTATTTTAATATATTTTTTATGTAATATATATTTTAAAAGCTGAATTTTCAGCAGCCATTACTCCAGTTTTTAGCATCACACGATCCTTCAGAAATCATTTGAATATCAAATTCTATACACCTTTTAGACTGAGAAAGACGTTTTGAATTCTGCAACTTGCTAGTTGCTGAACAAAAGCAAGTTTACGAACAAAGCAAGTTTACAAACAAATCTAAGAAATACCGGTTTAGGATCCAAATAGAGAATCCGGAGCAAAACAAACATGACATGACATGACACAGGAGCTCTGACAGCTCCACTATGCTTCAGCTTAAGCAAACACACCCATTTCAATTGTTTATCTCACTACAGATGCCATTGTGTTTTGCCTCTTTGAAAGGTCATTCATCTAACAAAGGGTGGAGCCCATATCACCCACTCTCTAAACTTGCTTGAAGAGAAAACTAGCTTGAATAACTTTCAGAAAGCCAACCTTCAAATCACTCAAACTTTCTTTAAATAACTCCGCTGAACCAGAATCTTCAGCCACATTAAACCTTCCCTGAAAAGCGGTTTCTCAGTTGGTTGATTGAGAAGCTTTGGGTGTTGTAGACGAGTAATTGGTGCATAATTTTCTTGCATTATAAGTTAGATCGGTTCTGGAACTGACAGGTGTGGTTTAGCTTAAAGCACTGAAACACCGCTCTCTGTCTGCAAGAAAAGACAATTACTGACAACACCCCCCCGGCTTATACGACAGGTGATAACGACTGTCAAAAAGTGGTAATGTGACTCCACTAAAGCAGCACAATTAAACGGCAATGGCAGAGCTCAAGTGAAAATTCAAACACATACATTTACATAGCACATATGCATGACAAAAACATGTCAAGACTCAATTTGACATTTAAAAAAGGAAGCAGCAGCAAATAACCAGTGAACTGAACAAAAGCATGTCAAACCTACAGAGTAGAAGCTGCTGTGCGTACAGAGAGGAATCCAGTTTTCATTAGCACTCTGAAGAGACCCGGCCACCCAGCTCTGCCACGGCTTCAATGCTGAAGCACTGTACACTGTAGTCATCCTCTACAATCCAGCTGCTAACATCACAACACACAGTTCTAGAACTATAGTTTGAAGAAAGCTTTATTCTGCTCAAAGGTCCATCTAGTCCCGTTGAATGACTGTAAACACTGTAAAATCACACCCGTCCAGATTCTCTGCGGCGGCTGGGATTCAAGAAGCTGCTTCCTGGCTCATGATATACCAGGGGCTGGACTTGAGATGGAAAAACTGGTCGGGCAAGTGCAAGCATAAGCTTTACACTAAGACGCTAATGACGTGTGGCTTTGAAGATGTGCTCCCACATAAAGTGGAGTGGAATGTGAGGAATGCAAGGCTTCTGGAGACTACAGTAGATGCACTTTTGTTTTAATGGATGCATCTCTGTGACTCATCTAATAATTAAGGTGTTATGTGGGAAGTGTATGAGTATGTAGATAGTGCCCAGATTAAGCTTGTGAAAAAATTGCAGAGCTGCTTGATGCTGAATACTTTATTTGCATCGAAACGCACTCAGTAGATTCAATACTGCAGAAAAGTGTTCGATAGTCCCAAAACTAGCAATATTTCCTGTAAAATTGGAATGGGGTAGTAAAAGATAATTCTGTAATCATTTACTAATTCTAATGTTGTTCCAAACCCGGTTGACTTTTTCTTCTATATATGACAAAAGGAGATATTCTAAAGAATGTTCACGCTGTTCTTTTTCATAATGGACTAAATTGAGGTCTGTTACTTATACAAAGCTAAGGTAAGGCTTCAGAGGACTTGAAATATAATGTATTGACATCTTTTATGATGACTTTTTGGAACTTGACCATCTGTGGTTTATTTTTTTTTGTTTGTTTTTAAACACCGCAGTAATGAAAAACAACAATTGACAACCTACTCACATCAACATAATTATACATAAATATTTAATTCAAGTTTATTTGTTATTTGATACAATCGCTGCAAAGCAACTTTACAGAAAATTACGTTTCTACAATATATTTAGTAGTAGCTTATCAGTGATGAAAATATTTTATTTTTAATGAAAAACAACAATTGACAACCTACTCACATCAACAATTATACATAAATATATAATATATTTCTTTTTTTTAATAATTTTTTTTTTTTATTATTGATGGAGAAACATTTTTAAAAACATCCATTAGAGCAGTCCAGCGCTCCCCTACCCATTATTCAGGTACCTCACCGCCCCCATCAAATAAAAATTCACAGACTATTGAAGTTGATTATTATTTTGTGTTTATAATGAGGACTGGTATTATATTTATAGTATTAAAATGTATGGGGCCATTACTTTTTTTTTTTTTAAAGAAATTACTTTAATTCAAGGATCCATTAAATTGATGAAAAAAATAAAATTACAGTGAAATACATTTTTAAAATAGATTATTTAAAAATAAGTGCAATAACAGTTACTCACTTTAGAAAAAAAAAAGAAAAAAAAAACACGGGGGAAGTTGTGGCCTAATGGTCAGAGAGTCGGACTCGTAACCCAAAGCTTGCGGGTTCGAGTCTCGTACCGGCAGGGATTGTAGGTGGGGGGAGTGAATGCACAGCGCTCTCTCCCACCTTCAATACCATGACTGAGGTGCCCTTGAGCAAGGCACTGAACCCTCGACTGCTCCCCTGCCGCCGCAGCAAAAATGGCTGCCCACTGCTCCGGGTGTGTGTGTGTTCACTGCTGTGTGTGTGCACTTTGGATGGGTTAAAATGCAGAGCACTAATTCCAAGTATGGGTCACCATACTTGGCCACATGTCACGTCACTCACTCACTTATTTACAGAGTTTTTAAGCATGTTGGTGATTTTCATTGCGAAATATTTGGTGATGTATTTGCCCCAAATTTAAAAAGACTTGATAAAAATTCCTGTTTAGAATATATCCACAGGGGCATTTTTACAGAAGAGATTTTAGTTTGTTCTTCCGTTCCTGGCAGAGTGAGCAGAGTGGAGCGGTGTGTTTTTTGACTGGAGTGAGGAGTGGATTTTTTTGAAAGTCGGAGCGTCGTTGTTTTCAGTCACTCTGAGAGCGCTCCACTACTGCTCTATCACGAGCACAATTAATGCCAACAGCCCATAATATAACTGCATTTTATCAAGAATTCACGCATTAAACATCATTAGCTAGTTTGACAGATATGTGGATCACTCAAATCAGAAAGAAGGTGAGGGTTATAATGGGTATAATAAAATGTGTTTATGAGGTTTAAAGTAAAAAAAAAACAACACTATTTTCCACATACTGTACATTATTGTTTCTCCTCTATGCCCCGCCTTTTTGAAACGCGTAGATTTTTACAAAGCTCATCGGTCTGAAAAAGCGAGGTGTGCTGTGATTGGCCAGCTATCCAGTGCATTATGATTGGCCGAATTCCTCAAGCGTGAGACGGAAATGTTACGCCCCTCACATACTGTTGATGCCGTATCCGGCCGGAGCGACGAGACAAAAACATTAAAACCCATTACAAACGAGGCATTTGTTGCCTCCAGTGGGGACATAATTACTGATTATAATGACTTATACTATCTTTTT